GAAATGATAGTGAAGACAACTAAGTAAGGAGAGATTATATTCACACACCCCAAATTATTTTTCTACACTCTTTTAATTTTTTTAATATTTTCTACACACCACTAACATTTGATATAAAAATATTAAAAAATTAAAAGAGCGTGGGGAAAGTAATAGTAGTAGGTTTTTTATATAAAAAACGATAGTGAAGACAATTAAGTAAGATTGTATAAATGAACATTTGTACACCTTATCGAAGCAGCGTTCGGCCTTGTCAAGGAGCTGACCCAATGGAACCACTAGTTTCCAGTTTTGTAGTTCATTGAGCATTGTATTTAAATTTGTGTGTAGTGCTGCTGCCATCCTGATTGCTTCCAACTTCTTTGTTGGGAACCCTTCAAACCGTGAGAGCACCTGCAATTCAGAAAATGGCGTGTCACAAAACACGATTATGAAGTGATCATAGAATTAGAATGGAAACGAACAAAAATAAAGCGGACAATTAATGGTATTGACCTGTGACTCATCAGTCAAGTGTTCAAGGACGGATTCGACTTTCTTGTGAAACTGCATCAACTCATTCATGTCTTTTGTTTTGAAAGAACCAAGGGTGGTTCTCATTTCCATGATAGGCTTCGCATACTTCTGAACATCTTCTTCAATTTGTTGAAAGTATGCTGATCTGAGACACAAAAATTAGAAACATTATATGCATGGTTTTCGCATTATTTTGAGTACTTATTAGAAACATTATATGCATGGTTTTCGCATTATTTTGAGTACTTAGATTTACTTATCCATACTATAAGGACCTCTTTGTAATCTCTGCTAGAGCATCAGCCATTCCTTGTTTTCCACCAGAGCTGCTTCCAATTCCACCCTTTCTCCCATTGGATGCCTTGCCATCCAAGCTAGATCCTTCCACCTTTCTCTTGAGAAGGCGGTAGAGACTGCCCATCTGAGGTGATCTCTTCAGTTTAGTGTCTTTCTTGGGGCGCAAGGATCTTCCTGTGCCGAGTGCGGGAGGTGGGGGTGGAGCAGCTCCATTTGATGGGCCTTTTAACATGGGTGGTGGCGGTGGAGCACCTCCATTTGATGGCCCTTTTAACATGGGTGGTGGGGGTGGAGGACTGCCAATTGACGGTCCTGGTGGAGGTGGTGGTGCTGGAGCTCCATTTGATGATCCTTGAGGAGGTGGGGGTAGGGGTGGAACCACTTTTGTTGACCTTGGTATCACTGGTGTTGGTGGAGGGGTTAGATTTACTGACACTGGCCCTGGTTCCATTGGTTGAGGCGGTGGGGGTGGTGGCCCCCCAACTGCTGCTACATTATGTGGGGTTAATGTTGGTGGTGGTGGAGGAGTTGCTGCAATTTGTGGCTGCATGGCGGGTAGTGATGGTGATGGCGGCAGTGGTGTTGCAACATTTAGCTTCAAAGTGTGTAGTGGTGGTGGTGGAGGGAATGTTGGTATTCTTGTTGCTGCTTCTGTATTGGGCAGTGAAAGTTGTTGCGTTGTTGGAGGTGGAGGCAGAGGCGCTGATTTTGGTTGTGGAAGTGTAGGTGAGGGTGAAAGCAATGATACTCTGGTGTCTGCTTCCAATGTTTCAGAGGCTGTGGTTGGAGTTTCAACATCATCACTTGTGTTGTCGATACCCTTTCCACTAGACTTCTCATTCAAACTAAGATTTGGGGCTACTACTTCCTCATCTGTTGCTGCAATTGTCTTTTGAGGGGTTCTATCTAATTCTGTCCCAATTGATGGTTCTTCAAACAAATTTTCAATCTTTTCCAGACCATTGTTGGTGCCATGAGCTCCTTGTTTTGATAAGTGAAGAGACAAGTTCTTAACATCAATCATCAGATTTAGTTTCCCAACTGCTTGCACTCTCAGAGTCCAAAGCAATGGTGATTTGGAACCAATGTTGGCTCTCTTTTGTGCTCTTGGAGAACCATCAATCTCGGGTAGGACAGAAGATGGAGTGATCGGAGAAGGACAGGTGGAACCTGAGGCGTAGCTCTCTGAATCGCTCAAGAACTTCCCAAATGAGCTATTCCGAGGGCTGTAATCTTCTCTTTTCTGGTCATCCTCATCCATCATATCAAACTTGTCCCGTGCCATCTTCATCAAGCAATCAAGCGTTTCCAGCACCGTCTCAACTACAAAATCGTAGAGAGAACCAGCCTTAACTTAAAATTTCACAGAAGGAAATAACAGTTAGGTTGTTGCTTCCATTTCCAAATGGAAGGCCTCAACTAGTCCTAGAGAAAAATTTGTAGCATACCGAGTTCATCCTGATTGACATTCTCCTTGAGTGATGGGAAATCATATCTCGGTTTGTCCAACCTGTCATAACTTGTCATCCAAGACTCTCCAATAGATTTCAATGCCTTGCAGAAGGAGGCCAGGACCTGAATGCCGTTGTTTAATTTGAAAAATTAGCATAATGGTCTCGAGTATAATTACATATGCGTACTAAGCTATTTCTTATGGATCTTAAATCCTTAATTACCTTTTTTGTTCCAAAAAAAATAAAATTCCTTATTTACCTTTTCTATAGATGCTTCCTCTATTTCCGATAATTGTTTATGCAGCACAATTTCAGGGAAAAGCTTCTGTAGATCTCCCATCAACCTCATTACCATCTGCAAGCAGAAAATAATTGGAAAATTAAAAAAATTGTGTTTTAATCCAGAAATTTAAGCACAAGATTTCAACAGAAAAAAGAGAAATTTTATTAGCAATCCAAAAAATTCATTTTGCACTCCATTTTTTAATCTTCATTAGGGAAAAGTACTATAACATTTTTAGAGTTCCTATAAAAAATAAAAAAAGGTACACATACCTCAGTTATTGCAGCAGAAGCATCACATGCTGGTAGGTCGATGATGTCTCTGAAGATAGTGATCTTCTTCCGGAGTTCGGTCATCCGAATCTCGTTGGCTGAATCTCCGCAAGACCTATCTTTTGGCACGCCTCTCCTAGAAGCGTTCTTCTGTTTCGCAGGCAGACTCTTAGCCCCCTTGGTGTCTTTCATTGCCTGAAAGAACAACTCTATTCATGTTAACTATTTTCTAGTCTAGACCTTATTGTGAATCGATTCCTTTTCAGTGATTATTTAATTTATGAACCTTAATCAAAGATTTATGGCTGCATGCAACAAACTTAATCTAGACAAGAAACAATGCTGCCATGTTTCCTTTTATATAGATTATTAGCATGCCTAGATGTAGATGGTTAGTTTTTATTAGCAGCTAGATTTAAGGATGATGGGTCACATAAATCAGACATGTTTAAGGAATTAAACATGGAAACACAAAACTGTACCTTAATTCCAGAAGGTTTACGACGAAACAATGGACTGAAACAGCTTCCGATAGTCATGGCTTGAACCTACGCTGAGATTTGTAATAGACTTGAACTGGGCAAAAGTGATGGTGATGATGATGAAAGAATGACGAAGAAAACGACAACGACGAAGCCAAAGACGATGGTGGTGATGATAATATTGTTAAATGATCATACAATTGGGTGTCAACCATTACTAGCCAGCACACCCTTAAAGCTTAATGTGGTTTTGAAAACAACTCCAGAATGTAAAAATTGTAATGTGTTCAACAACAAGAAGAGAACTGTTCAAAAAATTCAACTTATTTGAAAAAGAAAATGAGATGAAGACACAATTACGTGCGAGACACTTAGTTTTTGTGTTAATTAGTCTGTACAAGAAACTGGAAAATCCATTTCTTTTCTTTCAGCCTTTGAACTTTCTCTGAAAAGAGAAGCCAAGGAAAGACAAAAGGGCAAATTCCCTTCTATTAAGGAAGATCTTCCAGTAGGCTGAAGCTGTATCAGACCTAAAGTTTCCTCTTTTTTCTTTTTCCATTTTTCTATTTTATTTTTAATTAGGCGTTTTACTTAATTAATTAATGAATTACCTGTTTAGTTATCTAAATCGTGCATGCAATGATTGCAGGAACTGGTCCTAGATTTTTATTGCTTGCAGCTATTTATAGAATGATACAGCTTCTCACTTGTGTAAGATGAGGTTATGGTTGCAATACCGTTGTACCAGAAAATTTTAAATTTTCAAATTTTATCTTCTGTGTCGATTATCCATTTAAACAAACTTGATACCATAATAAACAAATTGCATTCTAATCAAAAGTTTTGTTTGAAAAAGTCCATATTATAATAGTAACCCTACATGATTGATGTTAATGTCATACCTAAAACTTTTTTCTAATTTTACAGGATGTAAAAATATATATTTTTCGTTTAACTTTTCTAAGAGAGGTTTTTAATTAAAATATTATCTGAAATATCCAACACATCTTACTAGGTCAAAATAAAAATAGATAAAAGTCAAATAAATAGTAGCTAAGGTCTTGATTACCTATCACCTCCTGCAAAATAGCTTGCTTAAATGTAAAATCTAAAAGTCTTGCTTACATACAAAAGTTACTCCGTGACAGACAAATACTACAAAAAGATCACCCAAAAAACATGGTGTTATTAGTCAACGTTCATACCTAATACCCCATTTGACGATTAGAAAGTTGGAACCTGGACAATTTCTATCCGCTTCTTTTCACCAAATTTGGGCAATGAAGCCTTCATATACTAGGTCGTTTGCCTTGGTCAAACTGAGAGTCCCTGGTAGCCTGGGCAATGAAGCCTTCATATACTAGGTCGTTTGCCTTGGTCAAACTGATAGTCCCTGGTAGCCTTTGCAAAGGAAGATGATATTGTAATTTCACCATATATAAAGAGGGCCAAGTTTGTTCGTGTAGTTTGTATAGAGTGTAGCTATAAACACTTCAACCTATTTGGTGAAAAATCCAAGTGCGACCTTGGACTGCATGGACAAGGGAAATTCTAAAGTCCAATTAGGGTTATATTTTCTTTGAGTTACGTAATTAGGAAGACACTCACGTAGAAATACTTGAATTTAGATGGCAACAACATTCAATATATGGAGAAGAATATATAGACATTGTGCATCAGCCTATCGTATGCCACATTTTTAATAGTTCAAAACAACTCATATATTCCAAATTGCCAAACTCAGCATCCATTAAATAGAGAAGCAAAAAGTAGAGGCGTCATGCCTAAGGTGTATCTGTATGAAAATATATAGCTGGGGCTATTATACAAACAGATTATAACTATGAACAAATATATATTGCAGTTTGAAGAACTCATGGGCTCAACTGCTTTGTATCCATTTACAGATTCAGAGTTCTCTTGGTAGGTTGAAGTTTACTCTTGTCACTCTTAATGGGGGAGCCCTTTTCTGTTTTGCCTTCTAATGAAGCTCTTTTGGGTGCTATCGGAGAAAAGCCAGCCGCTGCAGTTTTCTCAGCAATTCGCTTTTGGCGTTCTATCCGCATTTCCTCCATCTTTTGCCGAATTTCTTCTTCCTGTATACAAGCACATTCCCATCAGATTTCATAAAAAACAAATCAAAAGTATGAAGAAAATAGACAATGAGAGGTAGCCAAATAAACACTACATAAATACTCATTATTTACCTTCTCGAATTTGCTCTTTTGTATTATAGGCCCTCTTGCAGGAAATACTTTCTTGCTTTTGATATCAGGTCTGTTGTTAACTAGGGATCTCCGTACGATGCTAGACTTTGCTTCTTTACCGCGTTCTTTTGCTCCAGGAACTTTATTGCTCTTCACATTGGTGTCCACACCATTCGAAGCAGGCTTCTTATCCACGCCATCAGCTGTCTCAACACCAGAAGATCTTCTATTTGCCTCAGTAAATGAAATGTCTGCTCCATAGTCTATAGTCCAAGAAATTTCAGCAGACTCCAAGTTGGAATCCCTTTCAAGAATCATGCAAAGGTCATCTGGCTCAGATGTTCGAGTCTGTGGAATATCTATAACTCCATTTTCCTTCTGGGCAGCTAAACTCAGATCGTTAACCATGCTTATTTCTGTTTTCCATGGAGATTCATACATATCATCAACTGCTGATCGAGACTGTATAAAGAAAGAATCATCTACGCACATATTGCTTTTTCTCTCCAATGCAAAGATGCAATCACCATTAAAAACTGTTTGCTTCATTGGTACTTTCTGGTCTTCTGTACTTTCTGAATGATTGACGACAAACCAATCTTCTCCCCTCGAACCCCTGGTTACAGTAGACTCAGCAGCAGAAGCAGAAAACGCAGACCTATTTTCAGTTTCTGATGTTACCGATCTCTGTAAAAGTAATATGTCCTCAGCTGCACAATCTTTTCTCTCCATAACTGAACTGAAATTTTCTTCATTCCGAAAATCTTCCAATTTAACTCCATGGTCATTTGTTCCATTCCTCTCCATCGCAACCAAAGGATCAGCTGCAGCTGAAACTGTTAGTTTATTTGGAGTTCTCTCGAAATTGAGCCCCAAAGTAGGCCTTTCTGCTAATGAATTACCACCTTCAGACCTCGCTATAAAATGTCCATCTTGAACATCAATGGCGACTACAGCCTGAACAGTCAAATCCTCACTACTTGATCCATTAAACATAGAGTGACTCTTCTCTACGCCTCTTTCTTGTGAGTGTGACTCATGGGATATCTCCAATACTTCTGCTTTCTCAGTCTTCTCATCCGAAAAAGATTCATCAGAAACTCCGTCTTTATTCCCATCCCTCCTCTTGGGTGTGATGTAGTTGATGTTTTCAATGACCACTTTCCGCGAGGATTTCTTCTTAAACTTCTTTTTGGATGAATTCTCCATATCAGAATGCTTTCTCTCTTGAAGTGTCTCTGAATCAGAATCAGTCGCAGAAGTGGAGTCACTGGACTCAGTTTGGTTGCCTTCCCCTGAGTATTTAGTTTGTGTTTTATTCTTCTTCTTTCTTCTTGAAGATGACTTTTGAGTCCTATGATAATTCAGTTCCCGACCACAGTTTGCTTCATCCATGCTGGGAGGCCATTGCATGTTCCTTGGATAATGAGGAGGAAAAGACTGCATAGTAGGGAAAGGATATCCATGATACGGAGGCAATTGGTTTGAATGGCCTAGTGAACCATAAAAGTACTGAGGATTCTGATTCGGCATAACATTTTGATTAGTGACCTCTGGCTCATTTGTAAGTGTAATTTCAGACGCTCCTGTGAATTGCAGATCTGATGATGAACAGGCCACTACTGCTGCTACTTCTTGTATCCATAAACCATCTGTGTGCTTTTGCTTGTATAATTCCTTGAAGTTAATGCATGCTTCCCTACAAATAACCAGTACTTGATCTTAAGAGACTCCAGCAAGCTCAACATTACGGCAAAATAAAATGAACTACATCTAATTCTCCAAAATGACGTGAAAAGTAATGAAATCAACATTACTGGTTATGAGTTCATACCTTAAGCGTGAAGCTCCAAATGCATCTGAAAAAGAAATGACATCATCCATATTGTAGATCTCAAAACCAGCAACAAGGCCACGCGCATAAGCCATTGCTTGCTGTTTCCGAAGCAATGCCACTCGAGTTTCCAGAAGGCGTCGAAGGTAAACCCTGTCATATTACAATAAACTGAATGAATTAATGATAAAGATACTGACTGACACTGCAAGTGAGACTATTTCATTCACAATTGTAGCCATCCAAAAGAATAGTTACTTGGAGTTTTCATTTTCTACATCCCCTGCTTCTTCAAGTTCACCTCTTTTCTGAAAAGAAAAAATATATATATTAGCTTAAGTAATGATATATAATTCTTCAAAAATGCCTCACTTATGTTACAACTTGTGAATGTATATGTAAAATACCTTCAAAGAACCAGTTGACTTCCTTGTACTCTGATTAGCAGAGACAACTCCTGATAAACCAGGAATCAAATTACAAAACAAGTCCTCATTCGATCTAAATCGAAGAACATTCTTTCCATGATGTAAGGAAATTATAGAGAAAAACAACGGTTTTTAATGCAGGAAAACAAGCAAGATGATTAATCCCGAGAGTTGAATTTTCTCTCATATTACTCACATTGTCTCAGCAACCACACAAAGTAGACTAGAACAGAAACAATACATTCAACACAAAACAACAGAACTTAACCAATACAGCATCAGAAAGATTGATCTTTAAATCGGAAAACTAACAATTGAAAAATGAAAAATTCAAAAGATTTTGATGAGATACCTTCCTCCAGTTGAACTGAACTCTCAATCTGCAAAATCTCCTTTTCAATACTGACAAACCTCTCCAGAACTGCTGGGGTGCTAACAAACCGCACAAATCTGCCCCAAAATACAAAATTAAAGAGAAACAATTAAAAAAAAATTATCCAAATTAGCAAATTACCAATTGCATAATTGGCAAATGTCACAGATTTGAGAAATACCTTTGAAATGTGGATTTGGTGAACCAGGGTGCCATTTGGGTGGGTGGGCGAAGAGTAATGGAATACCCAGCTCTGGAAATCTCATCTTTTACATATTTGAGGTGCGAAACAAAAGGTTGGAACAACCCAGATGCTAGTTTTTCAGATTTGCCTCCATAGAAGATCACCAAGTCACATCTTCACTCATTTAATTTAGAAGCAAAATTAGAAAGAAATTCGAGATTAAGCACTAAGCAGAGTTGAACTACAAGTTAGGCATAGTGGACAGAGAGAATGATTTCCACACGACCTTGTTGGATTGAATAAATCAAAGGAGAATCTAGGAACATAAAAAAAAAAGGGAAATAAAAAGGGTGTACCGAAGGAGAAAAGGGTTGTGCGGAGATCATTTTCCAAGTACCTGGTTCGAGTTGGAGTTAGCTGAAACAAAGCGTAGTCGAGGCGAGCTTCCATGGCGGAAAATGGAAGAAGAGAGAGACTACAGCTGCAAGTGCAAGAGCATAGCTTCAGTGTGTATATTGCAAACGGTAGAACGTCATAATGTTTGAATGTGATGTTGAACGTGCATGTCACATTCCCACAGTTGTTCCAAGTTTAAATGGAAGAGACAGAGAAAGAGCAAACAGTCCAGAGACAGCTAGAAGTGACGAAGCTTTACACATGCCAATCATGAAGGCGGGCGGGATTATAGAATCATAAATACTATTTTGAGATATTCATCATGTGGTACAGCTTCATATCAAAATATCTTAACTTTCAAGTAGACGGATCATGGATCTATTCTAATAATATCGATATTGTCTATACTTGACCATCTGCTTAATTCGTCAAGTGTGAGGTTTTAATACAAAAAGCCTCGGTAATAGTTAGACTGGGTAATTCTATTTAAAAGGCTTGTTCTCAAGCTTTTTGGCCGATGTGGGACAAATAAATTCTAACAAAATACATTAGAATCCAATAACCTGCTATTACATAATGACTTACATAAAATGAGTTTACGGCTACGTAGTCTAATAATGTTGTATAGAAAAACTTACACATGATTGTGAACGTATCCATAATAGAGGTATATATGTTTGCCGTAACATCTTCAAAATGTTTTTGTAAAACTTTGTAAAACCAATTAAAACCCCTAAGTTACTGGCTCACAATTTTTTTTAAATACAATTCTAGAATTTTCACAAGATCTTTTCCGTGACTAATAAAGAAAGAGAATTGTTATTAACACTTCAAAAATCTCATTCTACATTCCGAATTTTCTATATTAAGAAAGAAAAATACATTGTGAGGAGTGTAGAATATAATTTTTAAACCGCAAATAACACTTCCCATAAAGAAAATGTCATAAACTGTTTGCTTGCATTGCTAAACTAGTGTGTGTTGGGTTTCCAGGAATTGATCGTGTAGACAGTGGGAGATATTCAAGGGAATTAATATATCTGTGGAAGGAAAATAAGTAGTATATACTTAATTTGAAATGTATTTCTTTTCCTTCCCCATTCTTTTCCGTGAGCAAGTACTGAACAAGACTATTGGTTCATCAATTAGAATTATTTTTTAAAAAGGAAAGTTATTGGTAAAGAGGAAATTAGACCACTCCACCAATTGCCGTATTTGGTTTAAGCACATGACTGAATTCCAAAGATCTCTGAATTTGGTCTCAACTCTACCACCCCTCTTAAACTGCCTTTGAATGAAGAAAAAGAGCATAAAGTAAAAGGGTTCAGGATGTGCGTATTTGTATTTAGTTGGTTGGTTAGAACAGTGTGCTCTTTATTCTAAACTCAAATTCGAATTAATCCGATCCCCCCCTAAGTTCCATGAACTTAGTGTAAATCTTATTCTTCGTTAAAAGGATTTAGAATTTAACCTGCTGGGAGACACCAACCCAACTGTATAAAATGCATTTGTAATTTCTCAAGGCTGGTGCTGCATTCAAAGCTCATATTGATGAACTTTTAATTTCAAGTTTCATCGGAAGCCAATTTCAAATAACACATCTATTATTGAGTAATTGACATATAGAGCACGAGGAGTTTACTAAGTAATTATATGATAATTGATCTAACCTTAATTAGTTTCCAAAAGATTCCAGAATAATATCCAGCTGTTCCCAACCGTTACATGCATAAAAAATTTCCTTCCTACCTGTAGTCAATGTCCCAGGAGCTTCATTTGCTTTAAATTCATGTTAATTTATTGCATGAGTGGAACCCTTAGAATTACTTTTAAGGCTTTTTAGTTAAAATCTTTGAAATTGTTATTCTTTACTTTAGTCTGTGACAATGAAAATCGATATAAATGATGTTTGAGTTTGTTTATCATAAATTATTTTGGTCATTTTATGAAAAATTATCAATATACTCGTTAAGTGAAGGGGTTTGTTTAACAAAAATACCCTTAAAAATATGGTCACATGGTCATTCATGTGACAATTTAAAGATTTTCATGAAATGACTAAAATAATTTACGATAGACAAAATCAAAGACCATTTTAACTGAAAAAAAAAAGAAAAAAAAAGCCTACTTTTAAAGACTTAAACATCTTAAAATTTCGTTTTTATGGAGGAGCAAGTTATATATTCACATTGGCTGTGTGCGGCTTTATAAGTTTAGTTTGTGGACGAACTTTTAATTTTCATAAAGCGCCAACAAGCTGCTTTACAAGAAAGAAGAATTTATCGTCTAAAAGTATGAGATATATAATAATGTGGTGCATGCTATATATGCATGAATTTAAGGCCATTTTATTCCTTTTTTTTTTTTTTTTTTGGACAATGAGTACAGGACACATGGGTTCCTCATTCTTTGAATTTCAAACACGTTCCATTTTATTATAATTATACTTATGTTGCTTACCAAATTAATAATATTTTATTGTAATAGAGACAACTCTATAACAAACTCACTGTTTCATATATTTTATAGTTTAGAAAAGTGGGTATCTCTCATGAGCCACATCAGCACATTAATAGAAGATTATACAAAATTATAACGGAAGAACGAGATTGATTTGCGGCATCGATATTCAAGGACGACATTTATCTATTTTCTATTTTAGAAACCATTTTGATGGAGTGAGTCAATTTTAAGGACCATTTCTGATAAAAACTCTATGTACTATTAGGTAACAAGCTATTGTTACTTTCTCTCTAATCTTATTTCCATTAAATCTTGAGTTTCTTAAACTCGTTAGAGTTTCAAAAGTTTGTAAGGGGTCCATGTGTGAGAGTGAAAAGAGATTATCTTAGAAAAACAAAAAAGAAAACACACTAAGAGATTATCTTAGTGAAAAAGATTAACCCTAATTCTAACCATTAATTTTGGCACTTGATTTTCCTAAAAACAAAAATATTCCATGGTTTTATATGTATTGGCAAAATTTTAATGTTTATACAAAAACGTCGAGTGACCCAGTAAACAGCACATAAAATATTTAATGACGTGTTTGAAGGTGTATACTGTTCTATTAAGCCTAGATAGTCAAGATTTTCAAGGCTCGCCTTCGTGCTTACTCCTATTTTCTGCGTCTTCTCAAAATAACTACCAGGTATTTTCTCAAGTCCAATATTAAAACTTGGACCGCAAAAATCAAAATGAAACCCTCTCCGAACCTATATAAATAAGCTACGCCCTGTCGGTCCATATAGCTCTCTCACACCCACAAACAAAATCATAACCCTTAGGAATTTACAACAAAAACCACAACCCTTAGCCGAAACGAAAAGTACATAAAAACCATATCTCATATCTCATCATTTTTTTGGTTAGCTTCTTCAAGGAGCCATGCAGCGTTCGCCAGCTTTGGTTCGCAATTTCCTCCGCCAGGGAAGCAACCAATTTCTAACCGTTAAATCACGCCCGCCATGTGACGTGTTCATTAACCACCGTGGGATCGACACCAAGAGAACCGTGGCCGGGTTGCTCTTTTACCATTTCTCAAGGCTCAACTTGCATCCTTTCTTGGACAGCAAGAACATGAAACCTGGGGATAAGTTGTTCGACAAAATTGACGGGGCGATCCACAAATGTAAGGTGGGGGTTGCCGTGTTTTCACCTCATTATTGCGAATCTTACTTTTGTCTCCATGAGTTGGCTCTGCTCATGGAATCTAAGAAGAGGGTGATACCAGTTTTCTGCAATGTAAAGCCGTCTCATCTTAGGGTCAGGGACAATGGAACTTGCTCCGCAGTTGAGCTACAAAGGTTCAGTTGGGCACTTGAAGAAGCTAAGTACACGGTTGGACTCACTTTCGACTCCTCTAAAGGGTACGTATATCTTATATATCATAATTAAGGAATAATTAGATTACCATTTTTCTTAAATAAGATCATATAATTAAGTTATAAAATATATATAGTACTAACTAAGTGCTTGGAAAGTGCCTATATGTGCGTGCTTGCATGGGTTTCATCTCTATACCTAGTTTTTTTATCGAAAGATGTACTAGGTTTATTTGATCAAACACTAAGATCGATTTTTGCTAACTTCGTGATGTTTTGGGTGTTTTAGGGATTGGTCGGAGTTCCTAAGAGAAGCTTCTGATGCAGTGCTGCAGAACTTGGTGGAAGTGGAAGAAGGAGTATACCGACCGTAAATACCATGTGCAGGATCAATGTTAATATGACACACACAATCACTTGATTACTTGACAATTTCACAAGAAAAATATAATACTTTACAATTATAAAATACACACACATTTATTTATTTGTTTTTTTTATTACAAATTTATTGATTCTTTTGTATAGGAGATCATCAATAAAGAATATCTTCTAAGTTTCTAACACTGTAGATTTGTCCTTCGTTGGTTATGATACAATAAATGGTAAACATCTTTATCCATGTATTATAATCTAAGATGTACTGTAATTGTAACAAATTCATACTTCTTTAAAAAAAATGCGAAGTTCAATTCATTGTATCCTAATTGTTAATTTCCTTTTCATTTTGCTACATTGATCCAATCCTCTCTTGTCTACATGTTTGAGAGAGGAAAAGAAGATAAAGAAACAAAATATAGTAACATTGTAAATCAATTGATAGAAATGGGAGTTTTTTAGACAATGTAACATCGTAAATGGATTGATAGAAACAGGAGTTTTGTAGACAATGTGCGCAAACAAATTGGAATCAAATATATAGTAAAATTGGTTATGATCAGCATAGCAAACGTTTCATCCAAAGAAATCTTGATGGGAGATGACATAAAAAGGACCGAGATCAGACTGCATATTAAACGTTATAGAAGTACTGCAACCGAGACTGAGATGCATTGTCGTGAAATGACATTTTACATGAGATTTTGGTTATGGGACTGTTTATTTAAAAATAAGCCATCATGCACTCATGTTTTGTTGAACACATGCATGAAAGAGAAATTCAGTCATTACGAGCTCGTCCTTTATAGAAAAAGTATAAGAGATACGGTAGAGTACATGATGAACATTCTGAAGTGTGTCAATAGCAGCTCTCTAGGTTTGTTTGATATTAATTCTTCATTCTTGCATTTTTTTTTTAGAAAACCTCGACGATACGAGGGATACTTTTTTGGATAATGAAAAAAGAAGTTACATCTGGTCAAGAGAAATATAAACCTTATTCCTCATAATAAATACCAAGAAAAGGAGAAAAATCATTCTTGCAAATTGACTATGTTATTTTTGGCTTGCAAATAATATAAATTATTTGATGATGTTAGAGAGACCTTTTACTTAAACCATATTTTGTATGTCACATGATATGGCATTTGATGAATGGATTTGTTGTCTAAATCACTAAACAAGGTATAGCAACCATAGAGAATTTTTTCAGTGTGCTAGAATCATGATCAAGTACACCAAGTGTCAGAATATAATTTGTTATTGGAATCTTTTTTCAAGTTTCCCACAAATTATATCATGACACTTGGTGTTCAGGCAATATGGCACACTGAAAAATCTCTCCTAACTATCAATCGCCACATTATGTGATTTACAAATTATGATCTAAAGACATTATGTGATTTCCAACAACCTTTTTTTGTTCCCAACTAGCTAGTTAAGAAATGAGTGATGAGAAATGTTAAAAGGAGATTATCAAAAGTGAGACTTTTTATGCTCTTGATTACCTTATGTTTTTTACAGCATATTTTATAATATTAGCACATAAATTAACGTGGAATTGTAAGATGACAGTGTCCATGAATAGTCTCACTTTAAAAGAGTCTCCTTATTTCATGCGTGATTAATAGTCATGTAGATCCAAACTTTAATGAGTAATGCTACACTTACCACCTAGTTGTACCATCATTTGTCTAATAGAGATAGGGTCTGCCTACGCATATGAGTTTCACCTCTATTAGAGAGATGATGCAAATGATGATACAACTAGGTGATAAGAATAGCATTTTTGGACTCTAACATGCGTATAAAAATGTGGGATGGTAGTCTTTTCAATAACAATTTACTTCAGTATACTCAACCAAAGGTCCAAAACGTGTGAAAATTCTCTGAAAACGGCAAGAAAACACAAAGAAAGTCAAGTAACTCAAATCTTCAACACCATGTAGGCAATGAATTTTAATTTTATAAACAGTTTGATTTTTAAAATATTTCTCGCTAAATTAAGGACTATCAACGGAAGCAAGACTAATCAAACAATTATATACATACATATATATATATATATATATATATATATTACGATTGCTTTTAGTCAGTTAAACTTATTGGACAAAGTCGCAATGGATATATTTTAGAGAACTTTAACGAAAAGCACTCGGTACTGTTCACTTTAACGAAAAACCACATTTTAATACTAAAAAGTCAATCATGTTACTATTCACTTTACCCTTTATTTTGTTCTTATCATCAAAACTCAAAGTTTTCAAGCCCTTTTCATTAGTTTTCCTTATATTTTAGGGGTAGCAATAACATTTTAACATTATTAAATTGAAAGACAAAAGTTGGGCAGATCAGATGTCAACCAAACTAGGATACGGAAGAAGTAGCACAGAATTTATACTGTGATTACCACGTAGCTATCAGTGGCCAGCGGAGCAGTATACCTAACAAGCAAAAGAAACCCAGAAGCGCCGCCCGCCGCCCAGCAGAGCAGTAAGTACCGGAGAAATTAAGAAAAATATATAAATGTGTTGTTTGGAAAAATTGACCTATTTGAATTGACTGCACCAGAATTTCATCCTCTTCAACTCTAACCACCAGTCAGTCACCATACATTTCCAACCAAAAGAAACTTCTCAACAAATTTTTTTAGGATGTGATATCCATACACTCTATTTTGCTTTTCACACATTCTTGATAATTTCTGTCTGTTGATCTTCTTCAATTCATCCTATTTTTTAGCAGTCGGATCGGATGAATTGAAGAAGATCAACAAATAGAAATTATCAAGGATATATAAAAAGTAAAATGAGGTATGTGGATGTCTTATACATAACATCTACAAATTATTTTTTTAAAGCACGTTGTATTGTATTTCTGTGGAAATTTCATTTTGCTTTAGACAAAGAGAAATTATATATATACTAAAAGGAAAAACGCCTAAATCACTATTCATATTACAGTGAATTTCCGATTTTGTCCTCGCCCATTTTTCTTTTATTGCAACTTTGCCCCTTTTGCTTGCTGTCAAACGGAGAACATTTGCTTTGCTGTCAAACGGAGAACAAAATGGGACGCGTGGGTTTTCCCAGCTTCTTCCCTCTGTCTCTTCGACTCATTGTTCATCCTTTCCACCGCTTCAATCTTGCTCTCACAGTTTCATTCCCTTTTAAATTTTTTTCTCTCACGGTTTCGTTGCTTCCTTTCCACCGCTTCAATCTTCCTTCAACTGGCTGCAGCCTCCTCTATCAAACCCTATAAATCGTTTTGCTGTTTTTGGGCACCCTCCTTTTTATCCCTGCTCCTTGCTTTCCCCAACCTAGAATCCTCCTCCTTTCCCCGAAAGAGAAATCTTAAATCCACAACCCAAAACTCAGTCATAGTTGCCCAACGAAGGTAGATTAATTGAAGAAAGATTGCTCCATCATAGCGGGCAAGATGGCTGGATAAGTCACGTGCTTCCTGTCTTTTTTCTTCTTTTCTGGACCCTTCTGCTTCGTTTTCTTCAGAACCCTCACTCAGCTTCCCCATCTCTCTTCGATCTCCGCTTCGCGCTCTTCAATCTTTGCTTCGTCATCTCTTCCTCCGTGCTTTCTCCGTGATTTCTTCACCAGCAACTTTGCTCCAGATCTTTCCAATTGAAAAAACCCAGATCATCATCATCTATTCCTCATCACCACAGGTACCTTCTACACCTATTACATGTCAAAATCTGCTTCGTGGTCTTCTGTGAGTTCTTCGCCCGATTTGGGTGGTAATTTAGTGTTTTGCATATCATGTTTTAAAAATAGGTTTTGTTTGAATTTCGTTTTTGTGATTTTGGGGGTTTTGTTTCTAATCGGGGGAGGGTGACTGATCATCTGAAAAAATTGAGGTATATGGTTTTTCTCTTCGAATTCCATAAACATGCATGTATTTACATCTCCCTTAGAGCTTTTATGTCTCTTCCTTTGATCTGATACATGCCACGGTGTGGTTTGAATCCTATACAATCATAGGGGTTCACATACCTTGTGTAGGTACCATTCTTTGTTTACTACGTATAGCATTAGGAAGAACCAATGTCGTGAAATCGATTACTTTAAGCGCATTTGGTCCAAGTTTGAAGGTTAAGAAGTTGCACAGCAATTGAAATCGTTTAGGTGTTCATTAAATCCAAATCCCGGCTGATATGTCTTAGGAATCCTTTTAAAGTCTGCTGATCAAGAAGTGTAAAAACTGAACAGCTTTTCTGGATGTATTTTATTGGACTTCGGTAGACAAATGTATCTTTGTTAATCAATCTTATCTCCGTGTGGTGATTCTCTTCGTGTTATTTAAGGCTGCAATTTTTTACTATCTTTCTGATATTAAATTTTTTTTTTGTCATGATTCCAGGTTTTTGAAAAAATTCGCCTTCACTGACTAACTAAAAATATTTAAACGCTGTTGCTGATCGGTATAAAGACAAAATAAAAAAGGTAGCATCTCTTGATAGTAGGTTTTGTATCCCATGTCATCCAGGTTAATTATTCCAGCGACCAAATTAAAGTAAAATCCAATATTAATTTAGTCTATCTACCAAAAAACTTTCTGAGGGTTGATTTATTCGTTGTGCTTTTTGTGTTTTTGTTTTTTTTCCTGTTTGGCTGCCCATTGGTGAATGTTGGATTAAAATGTGGTTACAATCTTTTGTAACAGATTAGAAAACAAACTCAAGTTTGGCAATTGCTCAGTTTTATTTACTGAGATTTGAGTGGTTAATTTGGATCAAACTCTAATGATTTTCCTTTGGAACAGTTGTGGTCCTCTGTTAGGATTTTCCTGGCAAAGAGTCTAGAGCAAGGGAAGGGAAAAATGAGAGAAACACGGGTTGGAGCATTTTTTTTAATACGGGTTGGGGCTTTTTTTTTAATTGATTTGGGGTTCTGTTTGGGTTTGGGGTTGTGATATTTCTGTGTTTAATTTGGTATTTCATAGTTTGGAGTTGAGCGGTTAATTTTTTGGACCTTATGATCTCATTTGTGATTATCAAGTGCATAATGGTTAATTGTAATTTTCAATTCTTTATGCTGTTAGTGGTTAAAATTAGGGGAATGGCTCCAATTTTGTTAATCAATTAATTTAATTTTTTGTGTATCTCAAGCTTTTAATTGATTTCCTGCATCATTGCTTAGTACTGAGATTTGAGTGGTTAGCTTTTTTTACCTTATGACCTCATTTGTGATTATCAAGTACATAATGGTTAATTGTAATTTTCAATTCTTTACATTCTTAATGGTTAAAATTAGGGGAATAGCTCCAATTTTGTTGGTCGATAAATTTAATTTTTTGTATATCTCAAGCTTCTAATTGATTTCCTGCATCATTGCTTAGTTTTATTCACTGAGATATGAGTGGTTAATTTCGATCAAACTCTAATGATTTTCCTTTGGAACAGTTGTGGTCCTCTGTTAGGATTTTACTGGCAAACAGTATATTTTGCATTTTGGTTGCTCAGTTTCTCAATCACAGATTTGCAAATAGCTATCGTGGTGCTATTATTTTTGGGTATGTTTTCTGTCAATATTTTCCCTGTTTGATTATGCATTTATAAATGTTGGATTAAAATGTATTTATTTTTGGGAAGAAATCAGATGGCTGGTTAGAGTTTTAGAAACCTTTATGTTTTTTGCCTTTTATGGTAATGAGAAAAAGGAGGAGAACATTGATCTTAATTGTAATTTTCAGTTCTTTACACTGTTAATACTGAAATCTCTGTTTTGTAGACAAATGGCTGACATGTGAACATTTGTAAATGCAGTAAATAGGAGGCCCAATAAAAGTGTTTTTTTTCCTTCTCTCTTATATTCATCTGTTTTCAATATCGGATTGGATTTGCATTAAGGGTTTTGTTGATTTGATATTATTGATAAAATACTAGAAAACCCACATGAAGTTAAGCACTTTTAGGGGTTTGTTCTGCTTTTGGTTCACTTAATATTCATACCTGTTTATGTTTTTACTTTTTAACTATATGTTTTTAAGTTTTTTTTTGTTCTGTGGTCTATTGCTTGGTAGGACTAAACTTATTATTTTTCTATTTTGTTCAATTCTCAGCTTCAAATTTAGACAGCAGTAGCTGCTACAGTTGAAATCCAATTGCATATCTTATTTCTACGCCTTTGGTTTTATCGGTGGTTAGGTAAGGCTCAAATCTTTCAAATTTGTCTTCGTTTTGGATTGTATGTTTACATAAGGATTTAACATTTTATAGTGTGGTTTCAATCGTAAAAGATTGTCAACTAAGATTTTCTGAATCATTATTGGTATTGGTTTTTGTATGATAGTTTTGAAATGTGACTTTTATGTGTTTGTTTTGGTTCATTGTAGATTACATAGTCAACTATTTAATAATTGACTTTTTTTCCTAGGGTTCTCTGCCCATTATCTGTTGTTTGGAGTTTGAACTTTTTACAAGCCATGTTAAGAAGGTCCAGAGATAGCAAACTGAATAGAATGATACAAGAAGACCACATTTTTGTTCTTCCAGTGGTATACAAGTTTGTGATAAACCAAGCTTTGAACCTCATAACAAAAGACGAAAAGAAGACCATATTGTTGGTTCTTCCAGTGGCATACAAGTTTGTGATAATCCGAATCAAATTAGTAAAGGTCAAGCCAATTTTCAGAAAAATAAAAAAGGTAAACTATCTTTTTAACTTGCACTTTCATTGGGTTGGTTAAGTATTTATGACTATACTACTAATAGATTGACTTTTTTTCCCTCTCTTTTTCACATTTTTTTTATAGGAAATGTTCAGAAATATGTGGATTTGGGAGACAAGAATTATAAATGCATCTACTGTGGTGCATTTTTTTGGATAAAAGAGTCTCTAAAACAGAAGTCAAAGAATAATGAGCCCCTTTATTCTCTTTGTTGCCAACAAGGAAAAGTCAAGCTCCCACGTCCATTGCCTACTCCTCACTTTTTAGAAAATTTGCTTGACCCAACTAAAGGCCAAAAAAGTTTATTGTTTAGAGAGAACATCAGAGCTTATAATTCTATGTTTGCATTCACTTCATTGGGAGCTAAAGTTGATCACACAGTTAATAATCAATCAGGTCCTTACATTTTCAAAATTAGTGGTCAAGTACATCATTTAATGGGTTCTTTGTTACCCCCTGATGGTGAATGTCCAAAGTTTGCTCAACTGTATGTTTATGACACTGCTAATGAAATTGGAAATCATCTTAATTCTGTTAATTGTAAGGAAAGAAATATGAAGCTTGATGAGAATATTGTTGAAGGTCTAATCAACATGTTCAATGAATTGAATGAATTGGTTCAAATGTTTCGAACAATTAGAGATAAATTTGAAAACAATTCTCTCCCTTCTTTGAAAATATCTATATTAGGTAGGCAGTTAAATGATGATAAACAATATGGACAACCTACATGTGATGAAATTGCTGGTTTAATTGTGGGTGATATTGGTCAATTTGACTCAAACAGGGATATTGTCATAGAGTTCAAAGATGGTGAACTAAAACGTGTGACAAAATTAAATCCAAAATTTATGTCTTTACAATATCCAATTCTTTTTCCATATGGTGAAGATGGATACAGACCTGATTTAAAATTGAACACTCCCTCAAACAATCGCCCATGTAAAAGAGGAAGAGTGACTACAAGAGCATTTATAGCCTATCAAATTCAAGAAAGGGAGTCTCAATTAGATACATTGCTAAAAGGAGGAAGGCTCTTTCAACAATTTTTGGTAGATGCTTTTGCAACACTTGAAGAAGATCGATTGGATTACATTAGAAAAAACCAAAAATACTTACGAAGTGAGGTGTATAAAGGCATTTATGATGCTGTATCAAAAGGTGATCATGATACTGATAACATAGGCAAGAAAGTAATATTACCTAGCTCATACACAGGAAGCCCTAGATATATGCTTAACAACTATCAAGATGCGATGGCTATTTGTACACAATTTGGTAATCCTGATTTGTTCATAACCTTCACTTGCAATATCAAATGGCCTGAAATTGTAAGAGAATTTGATACAAAACTTGGATACAAGTCAGAGGATAGACCACATATCATTTCTAGGGTTTTTAAAATGAAACTTGATGATATGATTAGCTACATAAAATCAGGAGAACCTTTTGGAGAAGTTGAAGCAGGTGAGTTTCAAAAAATGAAATTTTTTTTCTTGGTTTATTTGATTTTGTCTTTACAATGAAACTTACTGTAGTTTATATATTTTCTTGCAAACAGATGTTTGTACAATCGAGTTTCAGAAAAGAGGCTTGCCTCACGCTCACATCTTAATTTGGTTAAAGAAGCCTTACAAATGCTTCTCTGCTGATGACATAGATTTCATCATTTCAGCTGAAATACCAAATAAAAATTCAGATCCTCTCCTTTACGAAATTGTCAATCAATTCATGATTCATGGTCCTTGCGGACAACTTAATCAAAATTCTCCGTGCATGCGAGAAAGAAAATGTTCTAAGTTTTTTCCAAAGCAATACAAAAGTGAGACAATTTTTGAAACAAATGTTTTTCCTGTGTATAGGTGTCGTGATGATCCATCAAAATTTGTGGTTAAAAATGGGATGCAAATTGATAACAGTTTTGTTGTACCTTACAATTCAGATTTATTATTGAGATACAATGCTCATATAAATGTTGAGTCATGTTGTCAATCAATGCTTATAAAATATCTTTTCAAATACATAAACAAAGGTTCAGATCGAGCAAGAATTGTTTTCGAAGAGAATTCAAACAATGAAATACTTGCTTATTTAAATTGTAGATATATATCTCCATACGAAGCTGTTTGGAGATTGTTTGAGTATCCAATTCATATGAGAGAACCTCCTGTTGAACGATTGCCGGTGCATCTTCCTTTGGAACAAACTATTGTTTTCAATAGTAATCAGTCACTTGAATCAATTGTTAATCAAAAAGCTTCTGAACACACAATGTGACAGGTTGGTTTGAAACAAATAAATTTTTTACTGAAGCGCGAACACTAACTTATGCAGAATTGCCGTCAAAATTTGTATGGGAATCTCAACAAAAGATTTGGAAGCCCAGGAAAAAAAAAGGAGGATCTATAGGTAGAATTGCCTACGTGCATCCTGCATCAGGTGAGTTATACTATTTAAGAATGCTTCTCAATATTCAAAAAGGTGTTCTCAATTTTGATGATATTAGAACTGTGAACGGCATTATTCAACCATCATATCAAGCTGCATGTAAGTGTTTGGGTTTACTAGGAGATGACAAAGAGTGGAATGAAGCTTTAGGAAATGCAGCTAATATTGCAACATCTCGCGAGTTGAGGCAATTATTTGTTACGATGATTTTATTTTGTGAAATAGCAAATCCTCAACAGCTTTTTAATAGTCATTGGCAAAATATGTGTGATGACATTTTGTATGAGCTTTGAAAATCTTTTGCAATGCCAACTCTGAGTTTGTCAGAATTAGAATTAAAAAATTCCCTTCTGTTTGAATTAGAGCAACTATTCAATGCATCATCTAGCTCTTTAAAAGATCATAATTTGCCTATGCCTGATGAGAGAAAAATGTCAGAAATTAGAAACAAATTATTGAGGGAAGAATTAAATTACAATTGTGATGATTTAAGTCGAGAACATTCTATTTTGGTAGCACAGCTTAATGAAACCCAAAATTTTGTCTATGATTGTGTTATTAGTACTGTGAATGAAAAAAAGTCAGGTCTATTTTTTGTTTACGGCCATGGAGGAACTGGAAAAACATTTTTATGGCATACAATAATAAGTAAAATCAGGTCTGAGGGTAAAATTGTTTTAGCAGTTGCTTCATCTGGAATAGCTTCATTACTTTTACCAGGTGGTAGAACTGCTCACTCTAGATTCAAAATTCCTCTCATAGTTACAAATTGCTCAATATGTCAAATTAAGAAAGGGACTCATCTTGCTAAATTAATTGAAAAAGCAGATCTTATTATTTGGGATGAAGCTCCTATGAATCATAAACATTGTTTTGAAGCATTAGACAAATCATTTTATGATATTTTATCACATTCAAATGATTCAAATAAAAGTGCTCCATTTGGTGGCAAACCCTTTTTATTAGGTGGTGACTTTAGGCAAATTTTACCAGTTATTCCTGGTGGAACAAAAGAATAGATAATAGATGCATCTTTAAGTAACTCTTATTTATGGAATTTTTTCAAAGTATTTCAGTTGAAGGAAAATATGAGGCTTTCACAAAAGGGTTTAAATAATGACCAAAAGAAAAAACTTGCAGATTTTGCAACTTGGATTTTACAAATAGGTGATGGCGAAATTGGGAATACACTTGATTCAAATGACAAAGATACATGTTGGATTGAAATTCCAGATGATTTACTCATTCATTCATACTCTGATCCTATTCATTCCATTTTTTCAGCAACGTATCCAGATTTTGAAAATAATTTTGCCAGTTTTGAATATTTACGAGAGCGAGCTATTGTTACGCCAAAAAATAATACTGTAGCAGAAATAAATGATTATGCAATAGATTTGCTACCTGGTCAAAAACGCATTTATTTAAGCTCTGATTCTTTATACTCATCTTCTGGAAATTTTGAGAATCTTAGTATAATGTATCCTACAAAATTTCTCAACACACTTGATTTCAATGGCTTGCCTTCCCACAAGTTAATTTTAAAAATTGGAATGCCTATTATGTTGCTTCGAAACTTAAATCAATCTTTAGGTTTGTGTAATGGAACAAGATTGGTTGTGACTCAATTATTTGATAGAATTATTGAAGCTAGAATACTTGCTGGCAGCAACATTAATTACAAAGTTTTCATTCCTAGAATAACCTTGACAACAACCGAAAACAAATGGCCTTTTGTATTTAAAAGACGTCAATTTCCAATAAGGTCATGTTATGCAATGACAATTAACAAAAGTCAGGGACAATCATTGAAACAAGTGGGACTCTATTTGCCACAACCTATCTTCACTCATGGTCAATTATATGTTGCATTATCTAGAGTGACATCAAGAGAGAGCCTCAAAGTTTTAATTGCTAATAACAATGAAATGCCAAATACATTTACAAAAAATATAGTTTACAAAGATGTTCTGCAAAACTTAACAAAAGGTTAGACCTTGCATGCATCTACAATTAAAAACTCACATATTATACATTTTGATATATTTACACTTTTTTCCTAATAGTATGTATATTTTGCTTGCAGATTTAGAAGACAATGAGCATCTTCCCAATTCATGACTTAAAGCCTCTTTTGAACCAATTCAAAGGCTTACAATGGATGACTAAACTGGTGAGAAAACCATTTTATTACAATGTATTATAATTGAACTAGCTTACTAATTAATAAAATTTTTGACCATGATTATATTTCAATTGACATTTATAGGAACCAAGTTTGCAATCACTCATGGACTTCCAGCTCTCAATGCAATTGAACAAGGAAATCTAAAACTCAAATTTGGAGGTAATTAAAATAATTTTACCAGTTTTCACCATTAAGATTTTAATACCATTTTTTTGCAATTTAATAAACACAATATGCAATTTGTAAAACTTATAAAAATATCATTGTCTTGATCCTAGAAACCAATGCTTTTCATTCCCCTTAAATTATATGTTACATGAACAAATAAATCAAGTCACGAAGAATCAATCATATTGCCCACTCATTTTTCAAATGCAATGTACAACTTTTTAAAGGAAATATGGACTCCAGGAAGAATATGGACTCCATCTGCAGTCTAGGACGTTCTACAAAAAAGGGAAACAGACAGTAGGGCTTTATTGGAAAAAAAGGAAAATTAAAAGATTATATATAAACTTATTGAACTCGGAACTTCTATCCCTAATAGCCTTCCCTTCCTATTAGGATGTGTTTTACGGAGAATGCAACCAAGAATAAGTAGTTAAGCACGCTCTCGCTTGATAACCATTTCGTACCACCATATCTTAAGCACAAAAGCGAAAACAAATGTTGAATATATTTTTTTGGCGTGTAGAGCATAAAATATTTTTTATTCGGAAGCTTTCATCTCTCTGATTAAATTCAGTTGATTACTTAATTCAATAAAACAGACAACCAAAGAACAACGTGAAGGTGAAATCAAATGCAAAATCATAGAATACAAAATTAAGATAACCTTTATACATTTCGTTTGATTTGTTTGAATAGGATGATTTATAACTGTTTCAGTATTATGTTTCTTCATATGCAGATTACCATATGTATTATAGGGCACAGCTGATATAAGTTCTCTTTTTATACCTCTATCTCTATGCATTGATCTGTTTTCTGTCAATTTTATTCTTCTATATGCATTATGTTTATCCTGAACCAAAGGTTTCTAATCTTTTATTTATGAGTGTAAACTTTAAGACAATTCAATTTTTATGAAAAAGATAAATATATGACTATAAGAATCTACATTGATTATATTAACGTAGGAATACAACTATAACAATTCATTAAGTGCGATGACATAATCTGATAGTATATATTCTTTTAAAGATTTTTTGCGATTATTTTACATAATATATGTTGAGTAATTTTTTGGAGAGTAAACCTTTACATTTTAATATGCAGCAAATAATGCACTATAGGATTCCTCTTTCAATGGTGATTTGTCTCTTGGAAATATTCATTGCAAGGACAAATGAGAAGTATTCAGAAGCTGTTGTACCTTACATTAAGGCTCCTTTGTTGTGTTATATTTGGATTTTACTATATAATACTGTTTATGTATGGTTTTTGAAATGGTGCTCAGAATTATCACTATGGTTTTTTTGTATATGCAAAGTGAACAATTCATTCTTTGCCAAAGACAAAACATGAGACAAGGTTTTTGACTCCATATCGGAAGACGAGGTTAGTTTGTTTATGGTTACTTTTTTTATTTAGTTGAATGGAAAATTTGTCATATTGCGAGTCTAATTTAATCATTTCGTTACACAGATTGAAAATTTTTATTCTATTAATGTTGATGACGGAAATCAACCCGAGTTCAAATTAAAACAATTTGATAATTTTCGTTATGGTAAAAACTTATAACCTTTTTTTTTTTATCTTTTCTCTTTTTGAAATTAAGAAATTAGGGTACTTTTCTATATACCTTTCTATGTCTCTTATGTTATTTTTAAAATTTTGATAGCTGAGCAAAAGCACTGGCACACGCAACAAGGCTCCAAAGAATCCGAACATACCTAAGAAACCTGTAAGTACCTTCTTTGTTTTAAGAGAACTTTAACGAAAAACACCCGGTACTGTTCACTTTAACGAAAAATCATATTTTTAATTTTTTACACTAAAAAGTCAATCCTGTTACTATTCACTTTACCCTTTATTTTGTCCTTATCATTAAAACTCAAAGTTTTCAAACCCTTTTCATTAGTTTTCATTTGTTTTAATCGCTATACAAGCTTAGTCGCCATGTCTGGCTTCCCAAGTTACATACGAAATACTTGGACTAAAAAAGATGAACACAAGCTTACCACTAAAGAAATACAAATAAGGATTTCTCCAAATTTAATGGTCCAAATTTCTTATTAGATTAAGCACCATGACCCCTTGCCCCAAGTTCTAAACAGGAATGTAAATAGCATTAATCTTCTGTCATACAATCTTTTATACCTTTGAAACAAAAAATTTCACACTTTCTACCAAGATCATTATATATCTATGAATACATCTAATTTATAAATTCATACTATCACTGGCTTCACTCTGTTAATTGAATTTCATTCATAAGTTCAATGCTTTCACTTCTTTTTTTCATTCAATTAAGTATTACACCATATAGTTTAAATTGCAAAAGCAAATGGATGAACCGTAGTTAATATTTTATTTGTTTACATTGGTTTAGGTTTGAACTACTTGAAACTAAGAAATGAATCATGCAGAGTGATATAGAACATTTACATTACAACTTCAGCTATACAACTTTTGCTAC